TCGGCTCACCGCAACCTCCGCCTCCTGGGTTCAGGCAATTCTCCTGCCTCAGCCTCCTGAGTAGCTGGGATTACAGGCACGCGCCACCATGCCCAGCTAATTTTTTGTATTTTTAGTAGAGGCGGGGTTTCACCGTGTTGACCAGGATGGTCTCGATCTCTTGACCTCGTGATCCACCCGCCTCGGCCTCCCAAAGTGCTGGGATTACAGGCTTGAGCCACCACGCCCGGCGACCTGGCATAACTTTAATGATAGAGAACTATCACACGAACTGCGAAGCTCTGGCATTGAATTTCAAACACGTTAACCCAAGGGGCTGCCCAGTTGAGTCTGAGTTCCTCTAAGCCACTATCGCCAAACATCAGGGTATGGGGGACAAAGCATAAGACATTCTTTAGGAGGAATCAGTGCACAGCACCCTTCCTGCACCAGGGAACCATGTGGTGGTCAGGCACTGGTGGTTAAGGAGCCCTGGTTGGCACTGGGCCAATCAATAGGCTCCAAGGCAACAGATGAAGGACAGCTTGGAAAGATACCAAGAGCTTTACAAATGTCTGGACTTATAACTAGAAGCTGCTTTTTAAAAATTTCTTTGGGGCCGGACACAGTGACTCATGCCTATAATCCCACCTGTAATCCCAGTACTTCAGGAGGCCAAGGTGGGCGAATCACTTGAGGTCAGGAGTTTGAGACCAGCCTGGCCAACATGTTAAAACCTGTCTCTACTGAAAATAAAAAAATTAGCTGAGTGTGGTGGCGCACACCTGGAATCCCAGCTATTCAGACGGCTGAGGCAGGAGAATTGCTTGAACTTGGGAGGTGGAGGTTGCAGTGAGCTGAGATCATGCCTGGGAGACAGAGTGACTCCATCTCAAAAAAAAAAAAAAGAAAAGAATTCAATTTAAGCACTAATAACTGAGGCATCCTGAAAGCATCAGGACACATGGGAAACGACATATTACTGCCACAACCCACAGAGTCTTCCCTACAATAATGAGATGACAAATCTGGCTCCAAAGATCCTTTACTGAGATCTACTTGAAACACTTCGGTCCTAAATTTGTTAACTGAGTTGACAGGCTGATGGCTGATCTAGGTAAAGGTTTCACGGTAGCAGAAACACTTCCTGCCTAAAATATATCAAAACAGGCTCCTGAATGATGTGTATAAATGTCGTCAGGGTCTCTGTCCCATCTTCTTCAGGGTTCGATTAAGCTAGAAGAGAAAGAAAAGCAAAGTTATATACAGGGATTTCCCCAACCCCATACACAGTGTGTATGATCACTAGGTCAGATTCCCAGCTGCTCCTCTGAAACCAAGAAAGGCAGTCTCTGATGTGGGTGTCCACTATGTGTATACAAAGCCGTGACATTCACATGGCCCTGCACAGTTCACACAGATTGTTCTTTTACCTGCCCTTCATTCGCAACAAACCCATACCCAACACTGCTCTACCCATCTGACAGAAAAAGGATTCAGAGTGGCCAGACTTTTCAAGGTTACTAATTCAGTTAGGCAAACAGAAGCTTTCTCCTTTCACAAGGAACAGGATCCTTGTTAGAAGACAGCCCTAGCCCACTCCCCTGACAGATGTGATCTCAACAGCCAGAAAGTAAAAAGAGCAGCAGGGCTGTCAAGATCCTGCAGGAAGAGCCTGACCTCTGCTGGAGAACTCAAAGCACCAGGACCCAGTAGCCCTAGCAATGGCCACAGATACCCACACCCTTACAGTGTTTGGCCTGACCCACAAGACCTCTCCTAGGGCAAGATAAGGAATGCACCAAGTATGTCGAAACAGAGCTTCCTGTCCTCCAGGCTGCAGGAACTAGCCAGACCTGTCTAAGTTGGAAAACAATGCCAAGTGGGGAGGGATGGGCAAGAGCAGGCAGTGAATCCACCCATATTAGGAAATACCAGGGAGGGAGAGGAGAGCTGGCCACCCGCAGAGGGAGATCTTGGAAAGAGATGCTCTGGAGAAGGCTGATGCAGCAGTTCCTACAGGCCCAACCCCATTCCCCAAACCCCAAGCAGCCAGCCAGTCTAGCTTGAAAATTTAAAGGGCCAACCTCGGGTTTTCTTTTGCAGTGGCACCATCTCTGCTCACTGCAACCTCCACCTCCCGGGTTCAAGTGATTCTCCTGCCTTGGTCTCCCACATAGCTGGAATTACAGGCACGAGCCATCATGCCCAGCTAATTTTTGTATTTTTAGTAGAAACGAGGTTTTACCATGTGACCAGGCTGGTCTTGAACTCCTGATCTCAAGTGATTGGCCTGCCTTGGCCTCCCAAAGTGCTGGGATTAGAGACATGAGCCACTGCGCCCAGCCTCTTTTTCTTTTTGGCAGAGTCTTGCTCTGTTGCCCAGGCTGGAGGGCAGTAGGCTTTCTTAACAACAGAAATGAAAAACAGCACTTTGGGAGGCTGAGGCGGGCCGGATCACTGAGTCCAGGAGTTGGAGACCAGTCTGACCAACATGGTAAAACCTGGTCTCTACCAAAAATATAAAAATTAGCTGGGTGTGGTGGCATGGGCCTGTAATTCCAGGTACCCGGGAGGCTGAGGTGGGAGAATCGCTTGAAGCCGGAGGCAGAGGGTGCAGTGAGCTGAGATCATGCCATTGCACTCCAGCCTAGGTGACAGAGTGAGACTCTGTCTCAAAATAAAGAAATAAAAAAATAAAAATGAAAACATGTTAAACTCCCCATTCAGTTCCTAAGCTCTGTCCTGAGCCAACAGCCCCCCTTCTCTCAGATCTCTCACCTCCTCAAATTTGTGGATCTGACGGATGAAGAAATCCCCATAGCGCCTGGCGACCTTGGTGTCCGCAATGTGGATCATATCCTGTAGGGGAGGCACAGTCAGGGAAGAGCAGCCAGGTGGAGGAACAGGGCCATCTAACCCAGGAGCCACCATGGACTTGCAAATGATAATGATGTTGAGTGTTAGATATAAAGGCAGGAAAAAGACCACTGAAAAAACATCACCAGTTAACAGTAAGTTACTCTTTCTTTTTTCTTTTTTTTTTTTGAGACGGAGTTTCACTCTTGTTACCCAGGCTGGAGTGCAATGGCGCGATCTCGGCTCACCGCAACCTCCCCGCCTCCTGGGTTCAGGCAATTCTCCTGCCTCAACCCTCCTGAGCAGCTGGGATTACAGGCACGCACCACCATGCCCAGCTA